AAAGGAAGAAAAGGAATTATTCTGCCTTCTCCCTCAAAAAATAGCAACCTGCTTTCACGCTATCTATCTAAAAGCTACATTTCTACTACCCAGTTTGAGCCCCATACAAAGTTGCAATTATCTTGCCATCTGCTTTCCCTTTTTATCCAAATTAGTATGTTATATTGCTTATAAATATGTATTTACGGCTGAGGCAGGTATGCCCCACTGCGGGCACATGTCACTGTTTAATCCAAATGCATGGTTTATTGTTTTGCAGTCAGTATTTTTAGCTTGGAGGCAGGTATACCTGCAGAGCAAATAATACAAAAGAATATGGCCATTACAGAAGTGCTTCTGTGCTTTTAAATTATAGCACTTTTATTCCAGAACTGAACACTGAGACAAGTACATTGGCAAAATAATTATTTATCACTCTTAAAAGCTTCCTTTAAAATTTCTATCATTCAAATACTGGCTGGGGAGAATGCAAAGGACAGGGAAACATATTTTATGCACTTGCTGGTCTAGCTTTTATGCTGATAAGAACTTACTAAACACCAGTAAAGGGATATAGCAGTTATCAGCCCTAATTCAGAACTGTGAATTTTTCAGGCCAAACAGATGCCCTTGCAGAATCCCAGCCAAGTGTTAATGACAGCCCCAGTCCTCCTTCCACTGGAGTCACCACTTATTTTGCATGGCTTCAAATGAGGGCAGGTTTGCTCCAACGACCTGAGCAAGCACAGCGCTCTCAGAGAGACACTCCTTGCCACACTGAGTAGGACAGGGACCTCTAACATGCCCCAAAGAAAGGAAAATAACAAAAAGACACAGTCCTTTGCCTCAGGCTTTTCTTTTGAACTATTTTTTTTTTTTTTTTAGCTGATTAAAAATAAAAGGAAGCAGACCTTCACCATGAAACCAGCTATATACACTAAGAGATCTCTTTATAAAGACACTTGAAAATCTCCTCAAAATCTGTTCATTTTTCCATCCCTTTATATCTGTGCAACAGCAGAACTTGGAGCTCCCCCAGGTAGAAAGGTTGGTGCCCACATTTAGCTGTGCTCCCAGACCCATCAATAGGAGAGTCTGAAAGAGAGCTGAAGGGACAGGACCCCAGTCAAGTGCTTCTCACTGAAGCAAAGTTGTCAGGCAAATCCATACTCTTGTCTTTAAAAATGCTCAGTGTAAAAAAAGTAAAGCCCAGGTGTAAACATTTGCAAACTGAGTTTATTTTTTTTCCTATCTATGCACTTGAAATGAACATTGAAAGGGCAAACCCATCCTAATCCTATCATGGCAATGTCTTTCTCTGCTTCCTGAAACTGAGATTATCATCTCATTGGTTGTCAGACAGCTCCTGAGAGAAGTAATTCACTGGATTTTCCTGTGTAATCACAGCACAAGATTTTATTTCTGTTGTTATCTGGATGGAAAATGCACACAGCTTGTTCTGTGTCTTGCCCCTTTCAAGTTACTTACAGACCTGGATGTGCCAGGCTTCAAAACATCCCAACTGCACTAAGAAAGCTAAATCTGGGCTAACTCTAAATTGCAAGCAACTTGCTTCTCAGCAGCTCATCTCAACACAGGCAGGAAAATTTCCAGTTTTAAATTTCTATTCCAATTAAGGCAATGAAGACTGAAGTCCCCTAAACTGTTGCCACTACTTTCCAGGACATAAAATTAACGATTCCTACTGCTGTGTACAACTTTCAGTCAAAGTTGGTCTGATTTATAAGCAAGCAGATGGTGCACACGATAGTCCACAATAAATTACAACAGTTAGAAAGACAGCTACATTTTGAGAGTGACAGTGCAGCTGAGCTACAGATGGGTTTATAGATGACCCTTCCAATTTTTAATAATCTTCATAATTTATCTGCAAGTAAAGAAATGTGAGAATTCCTAATGCACCTCCTTGACTAAAAACAAATCACTTTTATTTACACAGGCAATACTTCATGGTCCAGTTATCTTCTTAATTAAAGGCAGCAAGATGCTCATGTTCCATGCAAGTGGCATGGAAAAAAACACTGCTCAATGTGCAATATGTTCAGCTGGGAGTTCAGGATGCTCTCAACAGTCTGGGAAAAGGGAACACTTCCATCTCCTTTCTTTAAAAAAGGCTACACCCTCTCCTCTGCATAAAACCTGAAGGGATTTGGGGGGGCACTCCTGGGAGGGTGAAGGAAAAAGAAAGCAAATCTTGGGGGTCAGATACAGAAAGAAACTGGCTGGAAGCAGCTTTGAGAAGTCACTTCATGTCAGTGATTTCTCTGCCTGGGACCACACCACATCCATCCAATCCTTCTTCTAAAATCTGGAATTTCAGTTGGAAGGAGAAGCACATCTAAGACAGCTGCTCTGTCTGGTAAGGTGATGAAGGGAGCAGGACCTAGCAGGGCTCTTCAAGGCACAAACTACAGAAGCTCAGAGGTGCCCACCCAGCAGTCTCCTGGGATGACATTTGAGGGCTTTTCCTCCTCTCTAACCCCTGATCTTCCCTTCCAGCCAAATCAATTTGAAAAACAAATACACTTTTAAGTGGAAATCCAAAACTATCATTAAAACAGAAGGCAGAGCTCCTAGGAAAGCAATTCTGTGTGTAATTTTAATTACCAACTTCCTAGGATTCAAGAGATGCAGCAAAGGAGAGGCACCAGTGACAAATTCAAGCTTTCAAGAATAATCACAATTCCCATTTTGGAGGTATTTTGGCAGGGATTTCCCAGCTCTGCAGCACATGGGGGAGCAGCACCACAGAGATACATGAATGGGAAAATCCAGTACATAGAGCTCATGGGACTGAAGCCACTTACACAAGAAGTGATTTTTCCCTGCCCTTTCCAGGCAGCAGCAATGCTCCTTCACCCACTACACAGAACAACACTGAAGTTAAATTTGTTGTGTTTATTCAAGAAAATGAATTAAATTCTTCTATAAATAACCAGAATCTAAAAGTTCTTTGGCGTTTATATGAGACCATTATTTATTACTGTACACATCACTTAGGTTGTTTAATTAAACATATGAAAAATTGTATATGTCAGATTATTCCTGGGATGCTCTTTACTATGTTATTTGTCATATTTGTTTCTGTTACTCTTCACATATTTAAAGCTGCATTATGCACTTCTGAAAACCCAGAGAAGATCACTCTAGAATTAGTATGGATGTTCATCTGTTACTGAGCTCTGAGTTTGGCACTTTATTTTAACAATATTCATCAGGTTCAGGAACTGCTACCACACTTCCCTCCAAGACAACACTGGGTCATACTACTGTTCTTTAAAAAGATCCAGTGTTGATTATTTAACAATATTTTTAAATATCCTGTAACTGTAAACCTTTGATTGACTGCAGTCCTTTCACTTGCTTTCAAGAGGCCAAATTCACACACAGCACAAGAAAGCAGAAGTTATCTGAATGCAGTAGGATCTCTGCTGTTGCCCCCAGCCCAAAAATAATTCCAGGGTTACCACAAGCAACCCAAAAGCCGGCACAGGCTATTCCAGTTTATTCCAAAAGCCAGAGGAACAATGTGCATGGTTTGTGTAACTGTGTGGTTCCCACAGGTTCCAGATCTACTCCAGATCAGACCTCCTGGCTGGCAGCTAACAGCAAAAACCTCCTGGATGGGGGATGAAGCAAGGAACACACACAGGCCTTACCGTACACTTCTTGCTCCTTGCATTCAGTAATCTGTCAATGGTGTGGAAATTACTTTCACAGCCTCAGGAAAGGGACACCTTTTGCACTCCCTGACGTATTAAAATGTAGATCAATATGATAATATGAAAACAGTAAACTCCCCAGTAGCAGGAAGTAGTTCTCACTTCTCTTAGCAATCAAATATTATTTCCATCAATGTAACTAGAGAAAAAGAAATGTAGGTAGTGATTTGTCAGTCTATTTATCAAACCAACTGCTGCACCTGGTTCCCACATATTTTATATTAAAAGGTGAATGACATATAAGGTTTTACAGGTTCCGTTTTAATTCAGGGCTGAAAGCATTTATAGATATGAAGGTTTTCTTATTAAGTTTTCTTCCTTAGTTATTATGCTTATTCAAATCAATTCCTAGCCATCTTACAGAGGTTACAACCTTCAATAATTAAATGGGGTATCGTATTGGCTGTTTTGTTCATTATGCTCCAAGTTCCAATTTCTACAAGAGCACTGAAATGCTGAGATAAAAGGATGTTAAGTTTATTTAATTAGCTATCTGCCATTGTTATCAAAAGGGAAGGTTGGTATCTGACTCAAATTAACACTTTAGATCAGGAAATAAGACAGATTATATCTTCTGACACGGATCCTGGAAACTCTGTAGTTGTTTCAGTTATTTTAAAGCTGCTCAGAACATACAGGACTGCATTAGAAAGAGCAAAAGTCACCAACAGCCAATGAAGTGCTGCTATGAAAATGTTATTTCAATCACACTTGGGTTCTTTCTCATTTCCAGTAGTTAATATTCTTGCCACTTTTGTCAGGGAGTCACTTTTAGCAGCATTGAATTTTAACTACACATAATTTTAAACCAACATGAAATGGGACTGAGTACATAATGTGGGTTCATTGTGCTAATGAACAACAGATCAGGCCCTTGTGCCAAGGCACCACCTCTCTGCTACACAGAAAAGCTGTAACTGGTTAAAAGTGAGCTGAATTTCAGAACTGCCATCCCTCTGCCTCAGAAATAACAAGTCCTCCAGTTGAAGGCTGTTTAGGATTTACCTCAAAAGAAAACAAAGACAGTGTGAAACTTCAGAGGTCCTGGAATAGTTTTAATTGTGGCTTACACAAACCAGAGCCATGGGTATTAACTCTGGAACTGCCCAGAGGATTCAGTGTCTGGATGAAGTCCTCGAAGCCTGGCTCCCCAAACTGCATCTGTCTAGAGAGGCCAATGGCCAAAGCAACTTCTTCAGTAGCCACGTCACCCTGCCACTTCATGGTTTCTTCCTGTTAGGGCTACAGAAACAACCTTATCCTTTCCCAAAAACTTACTGGTCTTGATCTGATTTCTTTGGCGTAGAGAGGTTTCAAGAATTCTGAATCTCCTTCAAGCTTCAGCCCCTTTTCTGTGATCCTCAGGTTTCCCATTCCATCCTGAAAGACAGTAAAAAGAAACAACCCTATTAGTTACAATTACTAAATTTACCAGGCTGCCAATAGCTGATTTCTTTTTCCACTGATGATAACATGTATAGCACTGGGAGGCACTAGAGAATGAAATTACTTGTGTTATTCTTGTAGCTCAGCTTCTGTGCAAAAAATATTTCTATTCAGAACTATCTGCAATGCCCCCCAGTAAACCATTTACACAGATGAAAGATGTTCCTTTAAGCTAAGTCATTCTCTACTCACAGAGAGGCAGTGATGCTCTGTGTTAACAGGAAACTATTCACTTTAATATTCACTGCCTGCCTTTATAATATAATAATATACCTGCTCATTCATAGCAAATCCCTGTAAAGAGTGTCTGATTAATATCTGTACAGATACACTCACAGAGAGGAGAACTGTACCGAAATATATTTCACCTCTGACACACAAAAGTTCTAACTTTTATTAAGATGAGGGATTTATCTTCACTTAGGCTATAATTGCTTAGAAAGGATGTGTAAGAAACAGTGTGGGTAGGGAATTGCACAAGTACATCTATAATCAAAACCACATCAAGTGTAAGGTATTATTTCCAAGATTCAGAGTGATTGTCAAAGTTTGCAAGGATTGAGGTAAACTGTTTTTTTCTGAGAAAAAGATTATTTGAAGAATACCTTTTTGCAAAAAACTGACTGAAATCACCAGGATTAGAGAGTAACATGAGCATCTCCATGCCTGACTCACAGCTGTTTTGGGGATTTTATGGGAAAGGGGAATGGACATGGGTAGAAGGCATAAAAAGATCAAGAGGAGACCAGGAAAATCCAGGAATACCACATGTATTTGGATCTACATCTAGCATGCTTTCCAATCCAGATGCAAAAATGAAACCCCATCTGTCTGCTTCCTCTTCCTCCCACTGCAAGAGCACCTCCAGCCCCAGATGAGGAATCAGTGTCTCTCCAAGAGAGTGGAGATCTAACCCAGACAGATTTCCATGAACTGCTGCCAAAAGGCCTGAATTTGGAGGGATGAAAATCAGAGACATCGCAGGGCTCAGCAGCAACACTGGTCACCTGCCAGAGGTTCTCCCATTCCAAGAAGTGCCATTCCCTGCCAAGTTAAGACTGTTCTTGCCAGATCCTGGTGTCTTGTGAACAAAGGTGATGCTGGTTGATAAAGTGACCACTGCCATCTCATTTTGAACTGAAGGCTGAAAGCAAATTGAGAGACAGATGCTGGAAATGCTACTGAGATGGGTCATAAAATGCCACTCCCCAGATTTGTTGGCCCTAGGTGTAAAATATCGGCCTGTGAATTCTGAGTTGATGGTGGCACAGAAGGGGTTCATTTATCTCAAGAAAAGTATGGAAAAAAATGAGTGAAATATTATTATGCTCCAAAAAGCCCAGATTAAATTTTGATAGCAATGTATTTTGTGATTTGAGCGAGCAGGAATTATTACAGCTATCTGCAGACCCTCACACGTTTTGGGCTTCTAAAAAAAATCTCTACAGTTTTGGTTTTTTTCCCAAAAATAGATTATCTCAGTAAGGTTACAAGCCCTGAGGGCTTTCACATAGCAGTGTCTGGTTTTACAAAGAAAAGCAGCAGGTCAGGCAAGCTGCTGCATGCCCCAGACAGCTCCAAGAAGGACCAACTCTGTGGACAGCGATGGTGACCCCTCCAGGGCTTGCTCCTCAGCTGAAGTGGGGCAATGCTTTTTCAGTAACATGGACCCAGGGATAAAAAGGGACTTGTCAAGCCACCACTGGAACTGTGACAAACCAGGAATTTCGATGACTCACGACTCTGTTCTGTTGTAATGACACAGACCCAGAATCCCACACTGCTCTTCTCTTGTGTGTTTCTCTTTCTCTCCTTCACCCTCTGTCTCCCAAGTGTGGTCCAAAGGATTTTTACATATAAAAATGTACATAAGGGAAGTTTAGCTGACAGCCAGCAGGTCCTACACATCCCAAAAGAGGTGTCAGGCCTACGGGACAAGGTACTACAACCAAAACACCGAAGGGACATTTGATTAATCGAAGTTGGTGTATGATCTTACAAACCCACTGGATTGGAGAGAAAGAGGCATTTCCCCATGCTTCTTTCTCAATCTTTGAGAAAAAAGCAATAAAATATCAATCTCAACCTCCACCCCCCCCTCACCTTTCTGTCCTCCTGCATCTGCCATTAGCAATAAAAGCTGTGCCCACCACACATCCCCTCTTGAATTCCTGGTGTTTGGGAGTGGATCAATGCTTAGCACTGTCATGTTTCTCATGATTAAAGCTGACAGTTTTTCGTGGTGACAGTCTGGGTCAGCAGGTGGAAAAACAAGCAAAGGTTGTACCCTTTTAACAAGTATCTTGGCTTCTTATAATACAATCCCTAGAAAATTATATTCCTCTATTATTTTCCATTAGGAAAAAAAAAATAATAAGCTCACAGGATTATACAGAGGTCCCAAATTACAGATACATTAGAGAGAAATCATTGTTGGAAAGACTACTTCACATGTTGTTTTGGATAAAGTACCTTCATCCTCCCTAAATTATATGGTTTAATAACAAATAAATGTCATATTCTGCTACAGAGAATAGATATGAAAGTTCCTATGAAATTTCATGGACTGTGACCTATAAAATGTAGCAGAAAACTGCCTAGAGTGACAAAGACCAAGATGTTTTATTAAACACTGTGTCTGTGATTGGTATATATCCTTATCTGCCACTCTTCTGCTTGTGAATAAGGAGAGGTATTGATTATTTCATACTGTGCCATCTGAAAATCATTGTTTCTCTCCTTTTTACTAAGACTCCTCAGCAGAGGGAATGACTTTATAGTGCAGGCACAAGCCAGGTTCGTGGGAGCTCCCAGGACTCAAGCTCCAAACAGGAGGCAGAGTTGGGAACCTTCCATCACCACCTGCTTTGAATTTTTCTGCTTTTTGGGAGGGCATGGCAAAAACTTTCACATCAATTACATCATTTATGCCCTCTCTCTTTTTATGCAGTGCCTTGTAGTGGACAGGCATAAAAATTTATGTGCTATTGCTGACTGCTCTGGGTTGAAAGGGGATAGCAATCCTGAAACACATAAATGTCATTTTGGTGATGCTGAATGGGAAAGGAATTTTGGATTTTAGTAGCTTGAGAAGCATCTCATTTTTACACCCAATTATGAATGATGGCATTACTGTTAGGGGAAGAGCTCAGCATTGATGGTGTCTGATCACCAAAGCTCCCCTCTACCTTTTTGTGGCCACACAGGCGGCTAAAGCCCAGCTTGTGTTTGTTTTACTTTTTAACAATTTGGGTTACTTTAATTTTACTTTTAATTGCAAGGCTGGTAGCAGGAAGATCCAGCTAACAGAGTAAGACAGCCACCCTTACCAGAGACATGTAACTCCTGTGGTAAAGGCTTAAAATTGAGAGTAGGCTTAGATTAGATATTAGGAAGAAATTAGGAGTGGTGAGGCCCTGGCACAGGGTGCCCAGAGAAGCTGTGGCTGCCCCTGGATCCCTGGAAGTGTCCAAGGCCAGGCTGGATGGGGCTTGGAGCCATCTGGGGTAGTGGAAGATGTCCCTGCCCATGGCAGGGGGTGGAACACAATAGTCTTTTAGATCCTTCTCAACCCAAACTTTTTTATAATTCTCCAATAAATACCTGGATTGGTACTGGCTGCACTGATCTGGGTTGATTCCACACAGGGACAGGGGGAATTTTCAGTGCTGTCTCATTCATGGGCAGCTTTGTTAGACCAGGCTGTGCTCACGCTGCAGCTTAACCTACTCAAGAACCAAGGTGATGCTGACACACATTCAGTGTCCCTTGGTGCCAGGATCCTTTGTCCTTTACAAACACAAAATGCAGCCTCAAACTCTTCCATGCTTCCTCTCCTGGCATTGCTGAACAAATTTCCTGTTTATTGAGGTCTTTCTAAGGATTTTAAGGACACTGGTGATGGGTGACAGATTGCTCCAGCTGTCTGCTGGCCACCACCAGCTCCAGTGGGTGTTTCCCACTGGTTTTCCCTGCACCTCCATCCTTTCCAGTTTTCAGGAGAATAGCTGGCAAGGTTTGTCTCTGCACAGCAGGTAAGCATTTATTTTTTTTTGCTAGGAATAAACTGAAGTTATGTTCAGCAATGTCCTGTGGGAGAGAATTATCTTTGGAGACTGCTTGTGTCAGATGGCTGAAACACCTGATTATCGTTGCTTGTATTATTGATTGTTGTGCTCTGCATTGCTTCCAGATATGTGCAAGTTATTACACAGCTCAATACATCCAAAGTTAGGAAAAAACCCTCAGCAAAGGCAAGTGACCTCATTTTTTTTTTCCCCTCCTGGGAAGATATCTGTGCTGTCCTTTTCTCTCTGACTTGACATTAAATGTTTCCAGATTCCAGGTATAGAACATATCATTGCCAGTTCTTCACAGCCTCGAACTTGTTTTAATTGCATCTGCCCTCCCTCCTTCTCCTCATTTTCTTCAGCTAATTCATCATCTTAATAAGGATCCCAGTATCCAGCTGTGGATCAGCAGTAATATTTTCCTATGGAAGCCACCTACCAGCAGCACGAGTCCTATGAAGTTAAATCTGGTTACACAGCTTGGCCCAGAGCAAGAGAGGTAAGATATATCAGAGATAATGTGTGAAAACTCCTTCCTCTGGCTTAAGACCTTGCTTTGAGACCTCATGTACAGTCTCAAGTCTGTGTGGACAGCAGAGAAAACCAAGGCAATGTAGCATTACACAGCATCCAGGACCTGTGTGCACAGATCCAGGATTACCTGTGGATTGTACTGTGACGTCTCATGTCCACAGCTGCCATCATCTCCCTCTTCCTCTGCTTCTTGACCTCAGCTGTCCCTGTCTTATGCCTTACTGGTGGTTTTTGCCTCTAAAGGTGACAGGCCCAGGGCAGGAGAAACTGTGCTGAGACTTCAGGGGGTGAAGGAAGGTGACCCCAAGTGCCTTGGATCACTGTGGGACA